GTCTATGTTTGCGCGAATCATTCGTGATCCAGCTTCATCTACAGAAGAAGTGAGTGTAAGGTTTTTTAATGAATATTTGCAAATCGCCTTTCTTAATAATGTGCTAATTAGCAAGTTTCACGATGAATACAGCTAAAGTAAACAGTCTGTGAGAGCAGCTCGGAAGAGAGGGGCGGGGTCAGCAGAGCTCATTAACATTTAAAGGAAAATGCTACAAAAACGGCTTGATCTGAAAAGATCTGTTTTTGACAGGGTAAAAAAGGTGTTTTTTACACTACCATTGAGAAATTTTAACCAAACTATGTTACAGACTTTTCATTAAGACCCTAAAGAATCATTTCAACTTGTGGAAAATGGGCATCCTATAACCCCTTTAAGAAAGCGGCATAGCTACATATGTTGTTAGAAATGTCTCTACAACATCCCCAGGTATTCTTGCATCACATGAGTTTTCTGTCGAAACCACCGCCATATTCTGTCAGTCAACTGCTACATGAAATACTTGCAGTGTATTGCGCAGAGATCTACCTCTGTCACAGGTTTAGTTTGTTTAGTTAGTAATCAACTTTCTGTAATATTCACACAAACACAAAAGATTTATTAGCTGTTTCAAGTGTGTTTCACTGGAGCAGAAAATCAACTCTGCAGAAGGGTAGATTTTATAACAAGGTAAAGAGTTACATTAGATTTAAATGCATTCATTTTGCAGACATTTTGATTTAATCAAAGCCATTTATACACCAGATTAATTATAAATCCAAGAAGTGCTACTATGCCAGAGTAGCACAATGCTAGATCCTTACAAATCCTCACAAATCCAGACAAATAATTTCAGCTCACCTCCTAATACACTCAGAGCATTTGCATGCAAGACAGGGCCAAGCAGAGATCTGTGGTCTCCTCAAACGGCTGAAAACCCAGAACACTGCCTTGCAAGGAATGAAATATAATTCACTTTTGACCTTTTTAAGATTTAAGGCTGACACAAATTCAACAAAATTCTCACAAATTCCCTTTAGGTCTGTCATCATCTGAAAGACTGAGAGGTCTTCAGAATGTAAAATCCTATTTGTTCTGTGAACAAACGGAGCTATTTTCTCACCTCATTTTCCCTGGGAGCATTTCAGAGTGAATTCCCTGCATCGTGACCACCTCACACAGCTTAAAGACCCACTCCAGACAAAGACCACCAAGGTCGCCTCAGCAACAAGTGATTGTGTTGATTGTTGCCAGGTTCTGTATTACCAAACAGAGTGTTGACACCAGTGAAAACACAATGAGAAAGAAATGTTATTAAATGGAGATGAGCGTGTTGAATGGAGAGATAAATGTCATGACGTCCCCACAGCGAATCAGAGAGGTGTTAGTGGTTCTGATGTCACGTCAGCAAAACGGAATGTAAAAATGATGAACATGCTGTGCTGAGGTGCGGTGGGGGCATTGCTTTCAGCGCTCGGAGCACATTGAGACACTGCAATCTAATTGAGACAGAGCACGCTGCAGCTAAATGCCATTTAGCTCCCTTTAGAGCATGGCAGGCTGGAGCACATAGAGAAGGTGTGTGTGGATAGATACATCTTTATTAAAATGCTTTTGACTTCTTTTGACAGGTGCTGGTGTTATATGCAGACGTTTCTGATGAGAGAAGGAATAAAACCAAAAGTTCAAAGTCATTGAAATCAAACATGATTTTAAATGGCTGTAGAGATGAAAGTGTATAGCAAATTCATAGATACAAAAAGCAGCTGAATAAGCTTAAACCCAAATACTAATAAAAGCTTTTAGACTAAGAAAGAAAATTCATAGACATAAAAAGCAAGTATTTACTTCTAAGTGGTGCAGCATGAAGCTCCATTCAGTTACATTGGAGTTTCCTCTGATCTAGGACCATTTTTGGCTGCTTTGCTTCAGCAGTTAGGCCCTGCTGGTAGATACCATTGCAACAACATTCTGCAGACAAAAAGTTGTGTTCTGACTTTTTTTCCCCCGAAGCAACATAATGTATAAATTACAAAAAAAAACAAAATATAAATATTTATATATATTGAATATATGTATATTGTTTTATATTAAATTATATTATATTGTACTACAGGGCTGTTGAATGCTTCAATCTGATTAGCTGACGAACATTTTAAGGTGTGCAATATTTTTTTTCATGGCTAAAGTAGTTCCGCTTCGCGTCGTGGCCACATTACCACCTTGGGTGTGCATTATTTTCTAATAATTCAATGGCCCATCGTTAGGGTTGGGTACCATTCACATTTTAAGCGGTACGGTACCAAGTCCAAAAGTCTCAATTTCAACATTTTGAACAATAGGGCCCTACAAACTTTTTATTTCTTTCTTTTTTCTTTTTTCCCCCCAGAAATTCTTGTTTTAATTTTTCTGAAAATCAAATGAAGGCATTAAACATGTATTTTAAATCAAATTAAAATTAAAGGAAGAAAAACTGTGAATATTCCTTTAAAAAAATTTTAATAGGCTAATACTTGTATTATTATTTTTTCTACAATTAAGTGATTAATCTGGTTGTAATATTTATTTTTATGATTTAATTGTTTTATTTAAATTTGATAGAAAATGGAATATATAAAGATGTACATTATACTGTACAAAAGTAATACGTTTTTGTGTTCATGCCGTCATATAGTGAGACGCAGAGGCCGAAAATCACCGCGAGCGTCACGCGTGCTTCAGTATTTGTATAGTAAACAAAACCGCGTTTCCGCCATTCATACATACAGAGGCAAGCGGAACATGCAGGATTCATATTTAAACCGTCTTTTTGCATTTTAATATTCACAGACACTAGTTCATATCGCGATTCGAATTAAGTGGCAGGGGCTACTTTTGATTTATTCGTCCAAATTCCGTGGCATTCCGCGCTACAGAGTAAATTACGTTCTCAGGTACCGAAATTTGGCACCGATTGATTTACCGTGAATCGGTACTCGGTAGTACCGACGCAATTCGGTCGGTACCCTTAAAAGTACAGAGTTCGGTACCCAACCCTACCCGTAGTCAATTATACCTTACTTATTATACATTAAATTGATATTTTAATGGAAATAATGTAAATGTGTCATTTATTTATTTTACATAATAGTTTAATTTATATTAATTTTTTCTGTTTAGTTATGGTAACAAGGGCTACACTGAAAAAAATTGGTCTGAGAAGTTGCTAGTAAATTTCACAATTAGTTGCAAAGAAATGGCAGTGACATTAAATTAAGCATGAATTTTTGAAGTTGAAAGGCTGAAATCTTGTTTTCTTTTTTCTTTTAATTTTTTTAATCTTTTT